GCCTTGACTAGGCGGGGGGCTGCTCCCCCAGCCCCTTCTCTGGGTTTGCCTGCCCCAAATGTCTCTCCCCTGCAGGACCCAAGGGCCCAATGACTCGCGCTTCGTCAGGTGGCAGTGGTCTGGGGGCAGCTCGGTGGGGTCTCCTCTGCTGAAGCACCTCTCCAGGCCTCTCCCGTACTGCTGGGTTCCTCCCCACCCTGTGTCCCGCTCTGGGCACCGAGGGCTCAGCTCCTCTCAGCTGCTGTACCACTGCTGCTGGCTCCTGGGCCTCACGCTGCAGCACTACTATTTCCCCATGCCCTGGCTTGGCACTGAGGGCTCTCTTAGCACAGGCCGGGCCCTTCAGGCTCCAGCCAGCCATCGTCATGCTGGGTGGCTAACCCAAGCAGTATCTGCTGCTCCCTGGCTCCCAAGGCTCGGGCCCATGTGCCACCCTGTGCACCGTGGGACCTAGCTGCTTGCCGGGAGATGAGGCCTGAGCCACTTCGCTGTAGCCCCAAGGTCTTTGCCCCGTGCGCTGCCCCATGCACTGTGTGGCTCGCTGGCCCTCCCAGGGTTGCAGGCTCAAGCCGCTACTTGTGGCTCCCAAAGCCTAGGCTCCGTGCACCGAACCGTGCACCGTGATGGGCCTGAACAGTCTCACACCGCTCCTAGAGCCAGGTCTCCGTGCACCGTCCCTGTGCGCCATTAACAGTTTGAGCGGCCTCGCACCACTCCCAAGTTCGCTCCTCCAGTGGCAGCTTCAGGAGCCTTAGGCCTACTGCCCACCGGGGAAGAGCTCCCCAGCTTTTCTTGGCTCTGTTTTCTTGAGTCCCTCACTGTATCTCCCCTCCTGCTGGGCATGCTGCTCCTTTTATACACTCCAGGGCTCTGCCCCTGAAGTCTTCCCGACCTAACAGTTTACAGCCTTCAATCAGGTCCGGAAAGCTCTTCTCCCCGCCCCCCCCCTTAGGAAAGCGGTGTGCCTTGATTTCTCCTGCTGCCTCATGATTGGTGGATGGGCTCCACCAATCAAAACAGCAGGATCTCAAGCCTGGGGCTCAACCCAAGCTTTGAAACGTGAGCTTGCTAAATAAGCATTTTGCTAAAGTAGTTTTTAACCCTACACACCCATCATCTTGATGTCCTCAGAGACTTGCCTTCAAAGGACATGTAGAGAAGAGGAAAGGGAAAGTCAGCACTCGCAACAGCATACTTCAAGAGTTGGTCACCTCAAAGTGGGGAGCAAACCCAGCTACATTATGAACCACTGCTATTGCCTTGCATTACTCCACTGCAGAGTATGCATGTCCAGTATGGGTACGATCAGTTCACGTCAAGAAAATAGACCCTATTCTAAATGACAGCTGTCATGAAATATCAGGATGTCTAAAGCCAACAGCAAAGGATTGCTTGTACTTACTAGCTGGCATTGCACTATCTTATATCAGAAGAAAGGTAACAAGCCAAAAAGAACGATCACAGCAGATGGAAGACCCCCACCCCAGCATCCACTCTGTGGTTACGCAGAAGTAACTAGATGGTTTAAAACATGAATGAGTTTTGTGACCAACGTTGTGCAGTTGGACACGATGACTACAGGGCACAACTGAGGTTATGGTAGGGAAGATTACATGCAATCAGGTGTTCTGAAATGGACCTGGAGCCCCAGGAGGACCTTCCAAGGGGGGCAGATCTAGATTGGCCAACACGGTGATGCATGAATCACCTGCACACACAAACTGGAAGATCAGAAACAAACATGAGGCTACTCTAATGACATGAACATATGCAAGTGCAGTGAAGTACGGACTATTGAGCATATGCTCATTTGCCAACTCCTTGGTGAATGAGACCTGTATGAAGGAGGACCTCACTGGAGCAACTGAAAGAGTCATTACTTGTGCATGATTCTGGAAAAACATCTAGTTTATGACAAGGACAGAAGAAGAAGTGTCAAATTATACTTCCAGTCCCTTACCTTGCCAAATTGAGGAGCCCCAAGCAAGTAGGATAGAGTAGCCTGTCCTCTTGTTTTTCTCTCTGATTAGTCCCAAATTCCAGTGCACCAATTTCTGGTGCCCACACCTGTTTATCTGACATGATCTCAACATAGTGCTTGGATATCAATAGGCCTTTTTGTTGGGATCAAAGCAGTCTTTCTAACTGTTGCTGACACCTTCTAAACAACCTTGATGAAAGGGTAAGTAGAGCTTTGTTTCCAGGCATAGGGTGGGCCACAGGCCTCTGCCCAACAGAACCAAAAGGTAATTGTGGCCTCTCTGCCCTTGAGTGAGAGGTCACAAGGACCTGCAGGGTGCAGGAGGAACCCAGTGGATACTGCTCTTCAAAGATTCAGATCTCACATGCTTGGCAAGCACACACCTAAAGTGGGGTTTACATAAATGACATTTCCACTTGCCACTCTTCCTTTTGGGTGCAGGCTTTGCCTTTGCTCCACAAGCTGTGCTCACTGCTCCATACACAGTTACATCTTACAGCCAGTCTGAGACTGGAGCTGCTTCTTGAGCAGAGCATCTCATAGGCAGCAAATGCCAACAGTGCTCTGGGTTCTGCACTAGTTGCCTTTTGCTCTCCCACTGGAATTTAGGGTGCTGGCAATATCCTATTAATATCTAACTAGTCTGAGACCTTCCCTCCTTGTGTCATTCTGTGGTTGTGAGGTTCAACCTTGATTCTTCACCTCTGGAAGGGCTCTAAACCTCTTGAAATTCACCTGAAATAGCTCAGATTTCCACAAGCCATTTGTATGAGGAGAGTGTGTTTGCAACCCACAATGATGAGAAGCTGGATAGGAGTCTGTTGCGGTCTGGCTGGCTGAGATCCTGTTGGGATGATCTCCTTGCTGGCTTGGGTTGATGATGCCAGGATACATACAGCCTGCAAAGTAGGTCCCAGGTTTGGAAGACAAAGAAACCAGATCCTCCAAACCTTTGACCTGTTTCTTGCTTTTCAAAACACTAGTGATGGCCACCTCCTTGGTGGGGTGGGGAGCACGTACAATTTTGTTCAGGCCCAAGGTCTGTGGTCCCAGCAAGAGATGCAGATGCTTTTTGATATCATGTAATTCAGGGTGCTCTGTAAAGCTTGTGACTCCTTCCTGAAGCAGATTTCTAAACAACCCTTTATAAAACATGATGGACAGCACCACAGCCATGTTTTACATAAGTAAATAGGGTAAAGTCTCCCCCCTGCCCCCCACATACTGGGAAAGGATCACACTGTGGAACTGGTACATCATCTTTTCAACAATGGCCTGGAAGATGGGATGGAGTGCACCCTCAGCAGGTTTGCAGATAACACAATGCTGGAGAAAGTAGTAGATATGCTGGAGGGTGGGGCTAGGATTCAGAGAGACCTAGACAAATTGGAGGAGTGGACTAAAAGAAACCTCATAAGGAGAAATGCAAAGTCCTGTGTTTAGGATGGAACAATCCCATGCGCTGGTACAGGCTGGGGCCAACAGGCTAAGCAGCAGCTCTACAGAAAAGGACCGGGGAGTTACAATGCACAGTAACCTGAATATGAGCCAACAGTGTGCCCTTGTTGTGAAGAAGGCTATCAGCATACTGGGCTGCAGTGGTAGAATGGCTGCTAGCAGATGGAGGGAAGTAATTGCTCCTCTCTATTCAGCACTGGTGAGATCACATCTGAAGTACTGTATCCAGTTCTAGGCCCCCAACAACAGAAAAAATGTGGACAAATTGGAGAGTCCAGCAGAGGGCAACGAAAATGGTTTAGGGGCTGAGGCACATGACTTCTGAGGAGAGGCTGAGGGAACTGGGCTTCTTTAGTCTAGAGAAGGGAAGACTGAGAGGGGATTTAAACAGCCTTCAACTACCTGAAGGGGCGTTTCAAAGAGGATGGAGCTAGACTGTTCTCAGTGGTGACAGATGACAGAACAAGGAGCAATGGGCTCAAGTTGCAGTAAGGGAAGTTCAGGTTAGATATTAGGAAGAACTTTCTCACTGGGAGGGTAGTAAAGCACTTGGAGAGGTGGTGGAATCTGCATCCTTGGAGGTTTTTAATACCTAGGTAGACAAAGTCTTGGGTGGGATGATTTAGTTGAGGCTGGTCCTGCTTTGAGCAGGGAGTTGTACTAGATGGCCTCCTGAGGTCCCTTCCAACCCTAATTTTCTATGATTCTATGATTCATATTTGCCTGTCTGTAGTGTTTGTGTGTGTGTGGCCTCCTACACACATGGACTGGTTGTGTTCAAATTCCACAGCTTGCCCTCCCGTCTCCTCTTTCTCTTGTGTCCTGCACACCAGTACTTTGCACTGTAGGAGAAGTTGAAGCCCAAGCAGGGGCAAGGTACAGCACAGCTGACTGACATCTTTGAGGCCAGGGGCACGAGACCCAGGTGCCCCTGCAGTGTCTGTATATGGCAGCACTTCTCAAAGAACGTTAGGCACTGTCAGGTAAGTCCCTTTTCCCCCTAGGGGCTGGTCCCAGATTGAGTAATGAACCTGCCTGGGATTGTATGGCTACCACAGACCTTACTCTGCCTCTACAGTTGGCAGGTATACTTTTCCAGTCTGCCTTCAGTAACAGAAACACAGAGCAGCACAGGTGTATTTCTAAATGACAGCAACAATAGCCCATGCCCAAACACTGCCCCACAGACACAATTACCACCCAGGGAGATGAGAAAAATAAACTACACAGCACAGGCATTATAGTTATGCCATTCAGTGCATAACTAGAAGGAGCGTAGATATTAGAAGGATATGAGAGGCACTATAGAATAGCCTAGATACCGTATCTCTGGGGTGCATGTATGCCATAGTGGTGTCTACTGACATGATGCTGTGGTCAGTGTGCAGAGGGAGGGGGTTATTATAACATGGGGCAGGAGGGAGTGTGTGGCCAGGAAACCAGGATTATTGTGATACATGGCCATGGGTGGGGGAGGAGGAGGGCATTATGACATGGCAACATGAGTGGGGAGAAGTTTATTGTGACATATCACCATGTCACTGCATATGAGAAGTATTCTGAGATAGTTTATCAGTGCACATGTCTGTGTCCCTGGAGATATTCATTGTGGGATAAAGTGTGCCAGTGTCTGCGTATGGAGGGTTAGTGCAAGATGTTGGTGTATTTGTGTGTCCAGGGTCATTTAGAAGTGCCTATGTGCTGTGTATGGCATGAGACACAGCTGTGTCATATGGTTCCTATTGTTTTCCATGTTGTTACCACCATGTGGGTGACCATGGGAGTTGACCAGGAGTGGGGAAGGGGGGGATCTTGCAAGTAGTCAGTGCCAGTGCATCAGCTTTGTTGTGGGACACGTTGGCAGAAATGACAATTTTCGCCCAATTGGGCCACAAAAAGTGGCCTATAGGCATGATCAAACACAAGTGCACAGCTGCATATAGCTTTAAAAATGGCCAGTTGGGTGAAAATCTGCATGACGGGTCAGATGAAGACATTTCAAATCAGAGCATGTTCTGTAACTTCTGTCTGTGCTGCCTGGCAGTCTGTGGCTGTTCTCAGAAAGGGAGGGGGGAAAAGGAGTGGAGGGAGTTCAGTCGGGGGCGGGGGGGATCAGCCTCTTCTGAAGGGTGGGATGGCTCTAGGTCCATCCCTAAGGGGGTATGAATCGGGGCACTGCCCCAGGCCCTGCGCCTTGGGGGGCCCAGGGAGCTGGGCTGGCTTTGCATCTGGCTGCTTGCCACCACCCCCCGCCACCACATCCGGACCCTGCGCAGGCTGATTTGCCCCAGGCCCCACACCCTGCTACGGTCATCTCTGGGTGGCTCTATTGGAGTTCCCCCCCGCCCCACATGAGGTGGGGAGGGACTCACATTCAGCCACCCCACCCTCCAATACTGGCAGGGAAACCCCTATACTGAACTCCCCTGCTCCCCCCCCCATTCTGAAACAGGGACAGGCTGGGAGAGAGGAGGGGACATTGCTAGGGGAAACTAGCTGCAGGCTGCAGCCAACAGCCATCTTCCCCCCACCCTGGAACCAACAGTGAACTTCTGTTTGTTCCAGGGGGTGGTTGTGACTGTTGTAACCCTCATATCATTTCCTGCAAAGTGCTTTCAGTTACAGGCGGAGGGGAGCTGCACTTCTGTCTGTGCCTGGTGTCAGTTTGTGCATCTGAAAAATGGTGAAAGGAGGTAGTGTCGCTGTGTGCAAGTGATGGCATCAGTGTGGAGTGTGGGAGCCCTGGGGTAGGTGTATGGAGCGTGTTATTCTGAGATGTCCTCTGCAGGTGTGTGCCTGGGGCAGATTCAGTCACCGTATATTTACTGAGCATTGGTTACTGTGAGGTCTCTACTGCCACTGTAAAGGACCTGAGTTCTCATGAGGGGTCAGGTTGAGTGTGGGCAGGGGCAGGGAGGGGTTTGTGAAAGCCCAGGCTCGGTATAGTACAGGATACATGGAGGGGTATTCAGCGTAGCCAAGTCTTAAGACTGGAAATTTGCCAAATAAACATCAGGAAGATGCTAGATGTCTTTAGAGAGACCTTACAGAACCGTCTGAAAAGTCATTAGACAATTAAGCCAGTATTCAACATAGTAAAGTGACCTGCATCTTTAAAGCTAGCAAATCCTTAGTGCTTAATTCTGCTAGGAACTGAAAAGGTCCCTTGAATGGTTGGGACAAAATCACAAATTCATCAACAGTGTGTTGTGAAATGCCAGGAGGGTACAGGAGGGATGGTGGGCAGGGCTGCTGGGAGGGTATGGGGCAAGGGACAGAGAAGAGTTGTCACTAGATTGTGTTTAATGCATGGGATAAGAGGGTTGACAGAAGGGGCCAGGCGGGCAAGAAGAGGGGGTAGGGAACTGTTTTTGTGAGGGACTCGTCTGGCTACATTGCATGGAGGTGGGATGGTTTATCATGGGAGGGGGTGGGGGTTATCTTGAGGACAAGCCAGGTATAATTCACATGTGGAGGAGTAGATGGACGATGAAGTTCCTTCCTGGGCTCCATGCAAGGAGGGTTTATTATGGGGTGTCAGGCTGAGTGTGCTGTGGAGCCTACATGGTTTATCCTCCCCTGTGTGAGATGGGTGCTGGCTGCACTGCACCTACCTGGAAGGTGGTATGAGTCCTGTGTTTCTGTGCAACGTTAGAGGAATGCAACAGCCCAGGTGTGGTGATCCAGGGATCTTTAGCGGTGTTCATGATCGCCTTGGCCATCCTCAATGTGTGTTCTCTCACTGCCCTCCTGCTTGTAGCAGCTTTTTTCTGGTGCAGAGACTGGTGGAAAAAGTGAGTAACAGATGCAATACTCCTGCCCCCCCCCAAGCAAGAGCAGAGGTAATAAACTCAGGTACCCTCCCCCACCTTCTGGGGTGATTAGAGAAGATGGGGGAGGCTGTATCCAAAGGAGAGTTTGTCTGATACCTGACATGGCAGCAGATGAAAGCTCCTTCTCAAAGTAAGGCAGATTAGAAGGTCCCTAATAACAATCCCCCTCTACTCCCCCCACCCACAATACATACACATCCCTGAAAGGAGCTGGACTCCTTTGCCAACCTACAAGGAAAGTGGTCGATGACCCAGAACCATCCCCAAGGTGGGTGCTTCCTTCAAGACCCATGTTCTTGTGGGAAAGAGCATCATCCCGTCCCTGCAGCCCTTTTGGTAACAACCTTTTCTTATTTTAAGGCTAAATGGAAAGAAAGCAAAAGCAGCTGCTTCTATCCCGTAAGTGTCGCAATATTTTTGGCAGTAAGTGTAGCTGGAGCAGGGAAAGGAGAATCTTCTCTTTGCCCAGGATCTGCATCTTCAACTGTCAGCATTGAGGGAAATGCTGTGGGATGGGGTGTGTTCATTCAGATGGGTGAAAGGAGCAGGGGTAAGTCTGGTAGCTGGTCTGTTCTGTGCAGTCAGAGTTGGCTGCCCCAGAGTTGGTCCCCAGGGCCAGGCCACCTGATAGTGCACTTGACCTCTGAAATTGCTGGGCCCTTGGCCATGGGGCAATCTCTCAGGAGTCCCCTTCCTCAAGGCCAAGGTATTCTGTCTGAAACAATTTGAATTCAATGGGGGAACATTTCTGCAGCTCTGTGTGGCAGCTGTATTTAGGGTAAAGCTTGTGGTGTAGTGCTCATAGTTTGGGAGCCCTCAAGCAACCTCCTGGTTTACTATTGCAGAAGGAGGGCAGAGCTGATAAAGCCAGGTACCCTCCTTCCCCTCCTTGGGGTCATTGGGGAAAATGGGGGAGGCTGAATCCAAAGGAGAGTCAATCTGATGCCTGATGGGTAAGGCAGAGGGTTACTAATGACAATTCCCAATGCTCCCCCCCACAACCCCACCCAACCATATACACATACATCCCTTGGAGTGGCTGGACTCCCAGGCCACCCTGAAAGGAAAATGGTTGGTAACCCAGAGCCACCCCCAGGCTGGGGGCTTCCTTTACACCAGCAAGACCCATGTTCCTGTGGGAAAGAGCATCATCCCCTCCCTGCAGCCCCTCTGCTAACAAACTTTTCTTATTTTTAAGGAAATTTAAAAAGAAAGTAAAAGAAGCCAAACCCTTCCAGTAAGTGTCACAGAACCAGTGGTTTTAGCTGTAAGGATAACTGGAGCAGGGACAGGAGAATCCTTTGATTGTCCAGGATCTGCATCTTCTATTGCTAGGACTGAGGGAAAATGATTAGGGAGGGATGTGTTCAGACAGGGGAAAGGGGCAGAAGCAAGTCTGATAGCCAGTCTGTCTTGCATAGTCAGAACTGGCTGAGAAAGAGGATTTCCATTTTATGGGGAACCTCCTTTTTTGAAATTTGGTTTTATTCTGAACCCATGAGAAACCAGTAATGTTTGCCACTCTGAAGAAGCGGATTTTTTTAAAATTGCTTTGAAAACACTAAAGCACAGAGTTTTTAAGGCAAAAATTGTCCCTGATTTGGAGGTGGCTCAGTGAAAAATATATTCATCTCAGTTTCAAAGCAGCAGTGAAGATGACAGCAACATTAACTTCACAGAGCAGAGGTCAAAAATCCCAGGCCCTGTTGCTCTGGTTAGGATGAGGGCTCCCACGGCTTTTAAACCTCCATTTCCATGACACAGCCAGGGAGTCTGGGCATGGCTGGCTGCCCTGGTGGTGGGCTGCTCTGGAAGCAGCGGTTCTGGGGCAGTCCACCTGCTGAGTCTGTCCCAGAGTCTCAGCATCTGAAATTGCTGGGTCCTTGCCCATGGGGAAATCTATCTGGGGACCCCTTCCTCAAGGCCAAGGTGTTTTGGCTAAACAATTTGAATTCAGGAGATGAAAAATTCTGCAGCTCTGTGCATGGCAGCTGTATTTAGGTTAAAACCCGTGGTGTAGTGTCCATACTTTGGGACTTCTCTAGCAGAAGGGCAGAGCTGATAAAGCCAGGTACCCTCCTTCCTCTCCTTGGGGTACTTTGGGAGGATGAGGGAGAATGAAGCTCAGGGACATTTGATCTGATGCTTGATGTTGCAGCAGCTGAAAGCTCCTTCACAAGGCAAGACAGAAAATCCCTAATAACAGTCCCGCCAGCCCCCTGCCCCAGCCAACACACATGCCCCTTAGAGGGGCTGGAGTCCCAGGCCAACCTGAAAAGAAAGTGGTTGATAGCCCAGAGCCATCCCCAGGCCAGATGCTTCCTTCACACCAGCAAGACCCATGTTCCTGTGGGAAAGAGCATCGCCCCTCCCTGTAGCCCTTCTGCTAACAAGTTTTTCTTATTGTTAAGGCTATTTCGCAAGAAAAAGAAAGAAGCCCCCCCCATCCCGTAAGTATCAAAATGTTGTTGGCAGTAAGTATTACTGGAGAAGGGAGAGGAAAACCTTTATTTTCCCAGGACCTGCATCTTCATCTGCGAGTAGTGAGGGGAACTGATTTGGGAAGGGGTGTGTTCGGACAGGTGAAAGGGGCAGAGGCAAGTCTGATAGTTGGTCTGTCCTGCGCAGTCAGAGCTGGCTGAGAAACAGGATTTCTGTTTTATGGGGAATCTCTTTCTTTAAAATTAGGTTTTATTCTGAACCCAGGAGAAACCAGCAATGTTTGCAATCCCTGAGGAAGTGGAAATTTAAAAAAAAGTTTTGAAAACACTGAAGCACAGAGTTTCTGAGACAAAATATGGTCCACAACCCTGTGGTAGCTCATTCAAAAACATATTCATCTCAATTTCACAGTTTCAGTGAATATTAACTTCACAGAGCAGAGGCAGGGATCCCCGGCCCTGTTCCTCTAGTATGAGTCAGGACTCTTGCAGCTTTTAAACTTCCAGTTGCATGAAGGAGATCCAGGGATCCTAGGCACACCTGGATGCTCTGGTGGTGGGCTGCTCTCTAAGCAGCAGTCCTGGGGCAGTTCATTTGGTGGGTCTATCCCAGAGTCTTGACCCCTAAAGTTGCTGGGTCCTTGGCCATGGGGCAGTCTCTCAGGACCCCCCTTCCTCAAAGCCAAGGTGTTTTGGCTGAAACAATTTTAACTCAAGGTATGAACAGTTCTGTAGTTCTGTGCATGGCAGTTGTATTTAGGGTAAAATTTGACGTGGTAAAACCATGTAGTGTTCATAGTTTGGGAGCCCTATAGTAGCCCTTTGTTTCCTAGTGCAGTAGCCACCAGAGCAGCACTATGCACGCATAGCTACACTGCATGATTTGGAACCCAGTGCTGTCCATGTCATTTCATAGTTTGAATTTTGTACAAGGAGCCAAGACATGGCTTGGTACCTTGAGTGGAGAAGTAGAGGGTGTGTACAATTAGGACCTTTCAGGATTCATTTATCTGCTTGTATGGGTTTGTTTATTTATTGATCTGATTTATTTGCTGCACAAACAAAAGGAAGTGAAACAACTGAGAAAACAAGCAAGGAAGATAAAACACTTATAAAAGCCAAGAGCACTAAGATAAACTATATAGCAACTCCCCAAAACCCTGTTTCTCATGTTTTATAGAA